TATGACTTCAGCTAATTAGAGAATTGTTCAACAGAGACAGTGCCAGGGAATTCAGCAGGGGCTGCAGATGGAGAATCGATGGTCAGTGAAGAGAGGGAGCATGTAGGCAATTTACCAGTTAATGTGTTCCCAATATCAACTGAGAGAGGCAGGGCAAGAGACTATTTTACATGTATTGACAAAAACACTGCAAACTCTAAAGACAAAGCTTACAGTAGGGTAAATAAAAATGCTGTAAAAATACCAAAATGCTGGCAATTATGAATACCTGTCATTATGCCCACACTCACTATGTAGTAAACGTCTGAGATAGACAAATCATTGACAAATCAGGAGGATATCTTTGTTGTGCTAGTTGTAAGTAGGTTTACTGTTGGTGTTTTGTCTCAGTAATGCACCTACCAGGACATATTTACCACAACTCACCAAGAAAATACTGTGTGGGAATAAAAAAAAAAAAAAAAAGAGAGAATCTGGAGAGAACAGGATAGTAATTTCAGAGGTTACCCACACAACTGGCCTAACAGACTACTGATATTTCAGGCTCTTTTGCACAGAACAGAGACATTCTTTTGTAAAACTAACTGTCACATTTCATTATTTCTTGCTTAAGTCATGCTCTGCAACTGAAGAATGTGGGAAATCACTGTAAATACTGGTCTTGCAACCTGCTTGTCTTGGAATCATTTGAGGCACTCTGTCTAAAAGAAATCAGCCAAGACCTCAGAAAAAATAGTGTGTCTCCACAAGTGTGATTCATTCTTAGGAGCAATTTCCAGACGCCTGAAGGTTCCACATTCATCTGTACAAGCAATACTACAAAAGTATAAACACCATAGGACAGCGCAGCCATCATACTGCTCAGGAAGGAGACATGTTCTGTCTCCTAGAGATAAAAGTACTTTGGTCTGAAAATTACAAATCAATCCCAGAACAACAGCAAAAGGACCTTGTGAAGACACTGGAGGAAACAAGTACCAAAAGTATCTGTATCCACAGTAAAACGGGTCCTATATCGACATAACCTGAAATTCTTCTCAGCAAGGAAGAAGCCACTGCTCCAAGACTGCAATGAAAAAGGCTGACTATGGTTTGCAGCTATACATAGGGACAAAGGTCTTACTTTCTTGAAAAAATTGGTCTGATGAAACAAAAAATTGAATTGTTTGGCCATAATGGCTATCGTTATGTCAGGAGGAAAAAGGGGGAGGCTTGCAAGCTGAAGAACACCATCATAAAGTTAAAGCTCAGTCACAGATGGGTCTTCCAAATGGACAATGCCCCCAGGCAGACTTCCAAAGTTGTGTCAGAATAGCTTAAAGACAACGAAGTCAAGGTATGGGAGTGGCCAACACAAAGCCCTGACCTCAATCCAATAGAACATTTGTGCAAGCAAGGAGGCCTCCAAACCTGACTCATGTTAGGTATTTTTAGTCAGATAGAAATTGGATAG